GGTAGATAATTGAACCAATTTACTCACACTGTGTTTTATTAATATAAGTATTTCTTATCTTAGGCTATAACTCAACATAAGTAAAATTGAGGAAACAGTTGATAGCAATCAGTTTTCTAGTAGTAAGTATGCTGTTGGGAATTCCCTTTAATATAACATTCACTTGTGTACTATTGTAATGGCATGTAACATCTGCCTATAATAGTGATCCATTGTGAAAATTTACTTCCATCATATACTGTATCTGGCCATTTGTTGAATTTCATATTATAAACACACATATTAAATATAGGATATAATGGTAAACTATCCATGTATATTCCTTCAATACCTTTGGAAGGACACACAAGAAACTAATCACTGGTTGTCCTTAGGGAAGAGAATGCACCAGGCTGGAGGACTGAGATGGGAAGTATACCCTTTTATTCCATCTGAATTTTGTAATAAGTATTTTTGAAACAATAGTAAAGCACTAAAAAGTAAGTAAAACAAAAACAACAAAGTAAACAATAACAAAAGGGAAAACAAATGGATAGACTGGCGTTCTGTGGATATAATTCTAGCCAAAAATACTTTGGTGGCCCATTTGGGTTTCTTCTCACAATTGGTAAGCTCTCCATGTTGACTGATGGCTAAGTTTGATTAGAACTCTCTTCTAGGTGGTAATTATATTCTAATATTTTATCATCATTTTGTTCCCGCCAACTTCAGATGATTTAGATCAATTGCCAGGTTTCTCTTTGACATGAGATCTGTTCTTGATTTGGAATGCAAATTATTAGAAGTGTTTCTTCATGAATAAAAAGACCATGGTGGTGACTTATGAGTATTCTTCCATTGAAGATAATTAAGGCAAGATTTTTTGAGGTACTTTCATCTATATGGATGGTAAAAAATTTACTTGAGTCTTTTTTCAAATTCTCATATTGAAAATATGATTGATTAAATTCATTCTTGGTATCATTTTGAAAAATGCAGCTTTAGCAAATCTATATAATGAAGTGAGATTATGTTCAAATTTTAGGTTATTGGTATATAATTTTATTTTAAACATACAGGTTTTCATTTTTTTTTCTGCCCTTTAGCCGACCTCAGAAAGTGTGTTTGTGTCCATTTCTACCAGTGCATCCTCTACACATCTCTACCCACTTGTACATAATTCAGCATCCAGCAGAGGTAAGATGTTATAAAATACACAATTTCAGATAGAATATTAGGATACAAGAGGAAGCATACAGATGAGCATACTCATCCCTTTCAGCTCTTCAGCATTTTTGAAAATAAATTGATGATAAATGCTATCTCTTTGGGAAAAAATAGTTTCTTTTATATATTATATGATAGTATAGTATCATATGCTTTATAGACAGACAAAAAATGTGTTGTTTCATAAAATGGTGTTATTTCGGGCTTCCCTGGTGGCGCAGTGGTTGGGAGTCCGCCTGCCGATGCAGGGGACACAGCTTCGTGCCCCGGTCTGGGAAGATCCCACATGCCGCGGAGCGGCTGGGCCCGTGAGCCATGGCCGCTGAGCCTGTGCATTCGGAGCCTGTGTTCCGCAGCGGGAGAGGCCGGAACAGTGAGAGGCCCGCGTACCGCAAAAAAAAAAAAAAAACAAAGGTGTTATTTCATAAAAAGTACATTGCTGAATTATATAATGAATATTGAATATATAGAAATTTAGAACTCCAACAATTTTGTATAGAGGAAAAAAAGATTTTGTGAGTAGAGAGCTAAGAAATTATTGCTTTTTAAATTTTGGTCATAGCTTGTATCCTTTGATGTCTTTTCTTATTAGGGCAGAGGTAATGCTCAGCATTTTAGTGTTATAAAATGAATGCGTAAAATAAATTTTTTACTTCTTTAAGTGAATAAAACAAATATGTATGTTTTACATGTATACATAAAAATAAATATATAAAAATATGTGTATGTGTTGTATAGAAAGACTTTTTAGTTAATAATTTCATATGTTGGTGAGAATTATGCATGTGCTAGTGTGAATATATGTTAGTAACTCTTGATTAACTGCAGTAATGAAGAGAGGAGGGAAGGAGATCATAGAAAACCAGAAATTATCATCAATACCAAACTAGTTGATGCATGGTACAAAAATGGGTTTAGTGTAAACTGAAGTTAAAACTCTTCCAGGCTTTTGAAGGAGAAATAATTTTTTCTTAAATTTCTGAGGTGTATACCACTTGAAGACTTTAACAAAGACATTAAAGGATATTAATCTATCACTTTCCTTTTCCAAATGATGAAGCAATTATTCTTTTATTGCAGATTGTTAAATATTTCATTTGTTGGGCAACCTTTATTTTTTCAGTGTTAACAACATGCTTTTGTCAGGATTGTGACACTTTAATCACTAGCATTATTTTACTGTGTTTAAACTTACAACATGGTGCAGCTCAAATTTACATAAAATGATAGCTTAGTGGCCATAACAGTTGTGGCTAAAACTTGACTTTTGATGATGAGTTCTGTTTTCATTTTGCCATATACATAGTATGGGGCCTTTTCATTCTTGTATGGTTCCAGACATAAGATGGCTTTTAAAATGTAGGTATTTTCATAGATTTGTGGCAGTTTTAATGTTTTCATATCTATTTGTTCCTTTTTTTCTTCATTCCTCTCTTGTCCTCCCCCCCCCCCCCCCCCACTTTCTCCTCCTTCTCTCCCTCCTTCCCTTCCTTCCTTCATAGTTAATTCACAGTTTAGATGATTCATCCATAATTGTGTGTGCTATAAATGTATTTTACGTATGTACAAGTACATCCATATTGTTTTTCCTTAAAGTTCCAAGGAACTTTACAATCTTAATCTAAGTCAGTCATACTTGGCTGCCTTGTGCTTAATCTCAGCATACTGTTTTCAATAAAAGAATAGGCCAATTTGATGACTTCCTCTAAAAAATGATTGAAAACCATTTGGATAGGCTCTAGGAGGGGGCTTTGAGAAAGGAAGACTTGATGGAGTGGATGAAATGGAGGTGATATGATGGAGCATTTTAAAGAGTAGGTATATGCATATAGAAAATTACTTAAGGATAAAAACAAAACAGTTATCTCAAGAATAACAAAAAACTTTACAAGAAAGAAACATTGTGTTAAATTGCTTGGGCTTTTGTGAACAACGTATATGTAGGCATTAATGATGTAAATACTGTTTATTGATTTAACTAAAAATATTAGAAGATGTAAGGGTAAGGAGTGTTGTAAGAAAGCTAAATTTTCATTTATTACAAGAGGCTGTAGTTATAGAATGCTGTAGTTAAGAGTAAGGCTCAGGAGTTTAAATCCTTAACAGCTCTGTAAACTCTATAACCCTGGGCAAGATAATTAACCTCTTTGTGCTTCAGTTTTGTCATTAGTGAAATGGACATAATAAAAAATATACTTCATTATTTGTTTGTGGTGCATAGTAAATGAATAATATATAAAATGCACTTAGAATTATATACGTTAAAGTTAGCTATTATGATGATAATAAATGGTAGTTTGTAGATAATATCTAAAATTGATAAGAAATAGCAAGACATATATAGAAATATGGACATAACTACTGGAAGAAATAGCTAGAAGAGTTAAAGTGATTGCCTCTAGGAAGTAGTATTGGGGAGTGTATCTGGGAACATTACAAATCTTTAGGCACCATTTAATTTGACTATTATACATGTGTTACTTTGACAAAAGTTTGGAAAGTGATTTAATTATGTGTCGAAGTCTCAATAGTGATGGCAAGGAGGGAAGAAAACAGTATGAGACACTGGAAAATGTCCTGAAACTTCCCTCTCACCTATCTCCTGCTAGTCCCATTCATCATAGGAGCTGCTCCAAATTGTTTTCAGGCTTCCTCAGAGTGCCAGCCTGCTACATGTTCCTTTTAGTTAAAATCCCAGCAAATTCTACCTCTTCTGTTTCCTTTTTGAACTTTTTATTAGGTAGATCAGTTTAACTACTCTCAGCATCTGTAAATTTACCTTTTACATGCTATTTTAATCAATACTTCCAAGACCCAGGGGTGAAAGAGGTAAACACAAAAATGTCCCTGAGGGTATATCTATGTGTGTGTTTGTGGTTGTTGAATACTGTTACTACAATACTTTTGGTTTCTGTTTAAACGTAAATAATGTAATTATAAATTTTTTAAATTACTTTTATAAATTCATATATAACTATTATTTTGTATATTAATTTACTAAATAACTCTGATATTCCTAAAGGAAAGTAAGTAATATTTGATATTCCTTTAGTACATTGTCTTTTTTACAGACACAAGTTATTCACTGTGAGGATATGTATATGCAGGATTATATAAACTGGTGAAGATAACATTGGGCTCTATGTAAGTAAACTGATTAGAGAGGGCCTCTGTCACTTATTTGATCAAGCATGACATTCCCAGATGGGCCAGTGGAGAAGAGCCAGGCAGTGACTGAGCACTATAGACCAAAATAACCAAGAAAAGTATGAGGCTAAAGCAGAATAGCTAAGCACCTGACTTTACTAAGGATTAAGAATGGAATTCTTGTGGCAACCAGAAAGGTGGTTTTTAGTGTTGGAAGTTAGGACGTTGAAAAAAAACCCACTGATTTATGGTGAACATTAACTATGATGATAGTTAATGCAATTTACAGAAATGGTCACCAGCTTTTTTCACACTAAAGTTATAATTTTTTTCTGTTTCCATACTTTATTCCTTGGAAGGAAGGCCATAAATCCAGCCCACACTCAAGTAGGAGGGAGAGATTAAACTCCACCTATGTTTATGTTTATTACTTAGAATTCTTCCATGAGGAAGATTTGTCACTTCTCTCCCATTTATTTATTCAATCATTTATTTATATCAGTCTAGACTCTGTATTTATTTTATACTTTGGGTTATAATCCAAATACTGTTATTTTGTTGCTCAAGTTGTTCCATTGGGTGCTCTTTAAGATTGGCTTCTGTGTCCCTTTGATATGCCCTATTGTTTTGTTTTTTTTGAGCACTTCCTTGCTTATGGGGCATAAATATCTAGGCAGTTATCTTCAAGTTGACATACTACAAAATGTAATTACTAGTGAAATAAAAAGTTTGTCAGAATAAATGAATTCAATTTAGTTAAATACAAATTTACATTTTTCATAATCTTTATTATTTAGATTAATGTTATCCTTTTTGATCAGTAAACATGTAAATACACCCAAATAGAATAAAAATATACACTTATATTTAATACTGATAAGTCAGAGAAACTATAGCTCTTTGTATTAAACTGTGGTCTGTAGTAAAAGACTTGTGAAAATTATACATAATGCTGTGAATCAGATGTTCATCAAGAAGTTTTAAAGGTGTGTTTATCTAATTAGAATCTACATTTTAATTAATTTTTTAATTACAGGAAAACAAGGTGTTGCGGACAGTTCCTCTGCTAGCAGCATGTCTCCCCCAAGATAAGTGTAAAGTCAAGATTGGTCGTCGCTTCAGTGAGGAAAGGTAAATGAACTTTTAGGGCAACTTAAATGAATTCTTTTTTTACTTTAAAAATGGTTTCCTTCAAGTTACCTATTAGACCTAGAACATGGTACATTGGAAATGGTTTAAAAATTTAATTTCTGCCTTCTCTCTCAAAATAATACAAGTAAGCAAAACATAAACAAAAACAGACCAAAATGGAATAAACAAATTATAGCATTATCTAAATTCCATGGTATATATGTTGAGCCTAAAAGGCATGTATATTTCCTGTTTATTTCATTTTTGTTAAGATATTTTATTTCAGGATATTAGGGTACTTGTATTAGATTTAGTTAATGATTTTCTTTCTTTTTCTTTTACAATTATATATGATATACATTTATATAAACATATATTCATTTCTAGCCCATGAAGGCTTTCCTAAGGTACAGTGACTAGAACTATATTTAGTGTTCCAGTTATAGGCACATCCATATTTTAAAAAAATGATAGAATGCCTTCTCTTGTTGTGTTTAAAATATTTTTTTTTTGATGAGGCCCAGTATGTGCAGCAGTTTGTTAGTTGATAGCTTCACAGACAGTTCTGTAATATTCTTGGATCTTATTTTATACCGTATTACAGTGTAATACAGAACCCATTATTATAAATATATATAATATACTGTATGTATATTGAAATTTTTCTACAAGTTGTTTCTTACCTTTGAAGCATATTCGTTGCTTTTCTACCTATTTCTACCTATACAGAGCCTTCACAAATTACTTTGATCCTATCTACACAGTTAAATATATTTTTAGATTTCTTTTTCAGTTCACTTATGAAAATGCTAAGTAAGACTAGTGGCAGCGCCAAGCCCAAGGAATTGACCAAACTTTTTCCTTCCTTTATTATTTTAGCTTTATATTATGAAAACATCATGTTAGATCTTTATAGAATCATTTTTTTTCCTTTCTCTGAAACTATTGGTTAGGCATTCTTTTCTCATATAGATTTTTCTTTTGCACAGTTTACATTGCCTTGTCCACCAGAGGTGAGCTTTGCTCTGGGCTTGGTGCTGCTGTTGCAGATTCTGCCATTTTGTTGGGAGTGGAAGCACCATCCAGAGCTCTTCACATGGGGAGCAACCACATAATTTACACTGTGACACTTCTTTCACACAGAGGCTCTTTATAATGATAGTTTCTCTATAATTCTTGGACAGATGTGGATATATAATCTGCCAGCTTGGATCTCGGTTATTTTATTGCAAAAATGGTGAGCGTCTATGGTGGTAGAAGTGGAAACTCTCTTGGTCATCCCTGACATTTGGCTATCTAACCCTTCCACAGTTGTGCGTCGGGATGAGAAACTTGATATTTTTCTAAATAGCCTATCCCATTTTGAGCCTATGATATTAAGCTCAGTATTTTTGATGGTACCAAATACAGTGCTTACTCAGTAAATTATTATTCATGTACGGATTTTAAACTAAAGCTGATTAAGATTATTGATTTAATATTAATCTGGTAATTGAATGATTTATTTATTTATTTTTATAAATTTATTTATTTTATTTGTTTATTTTTGGCTGCATTGGGTCTTTGTTGCTGCGTGTGGGCTTTCTCTAGTTGTGGCGAGTGGGGGCTACTCTTCGTTGAGGTGCGCAGGCTTCTCACTGCAGTGGCTTCTCTTGTTGTGGAGCATAGGCTCTAGGTGTGAGGGCTTCAGTAGTTGTGGCACGTGGGCTCAGTAGTTGTGGCTCACGGGCTCTAGAGTGCAGGCTCAGTAGTTGTGGTGCACAGGCTTAGTTCTCCACAGCATGTGGGATCTTCCCTGACCAGGGCTTGAACCCATGTCCCCTGCAGTGGCAGGCAGATTCTTAACCACTGTACCACCAGGGAAGTCCTGAATGATTGATTTAGTTTTTTGTTAAAGTATGTGATGTAACCATGGGGGAATGATTAAGAGACTTATTACTTTTAGTATCCTTTGTAAATGGAATTTAAAAATACTTACTTTCAGTTTTTTGCCACTAGTATATAAGAAAACAGTTGGGCTTTGTGTATTAACCCTGTATACTATGACTTTCTAAATTTATTTGTTAATTGTAGAAATTGTTTTGTAGATTCCCTAGAACTTTCAATGTAAGTAGGATTATCTGCAGATAGGGTCATTTATATTTCTTCCTTTCTGATGTTTATGCCTTTTATTTCTTTTTCTTGCCTTATTGTAGTAACTGGGACCTTCAGTACAATGTGTATTATGAGTGGCAAAAGCCCCTATCTTTACCTTGATACCAATCTAAAAGGACGTTGTTAGAGCTGGTATTGGCTGTATATTTTTGTAGATGCTACTTATTATTATAGTTTGAAAACTATACCATTTATTGTCTTTGACTTTTAACTTGTCTCCTTCCCCCTCAAGTTTGTTTTGTTGCTTGCAGACAGAGGCTGTGTCATTCTTTATTATATCTCTAGTGCCAAAATGCTTTGACATGTATTTTTGAATGAAGTTCAATAAGAATAATAAAACTCCACCCCCCCCCACCAGGTTAATAACGACTTTTATTTTAAACTTTTAGAGATCCTGAACTTTCAACTGTTTGTCGGAAGTCTGATACATTAATATTATATCCAGGGGCTGAAGCTGCTAATTTGGAAGAATTTTTATTAGATTCTCCTATTTATCCTTCCACAATCATCATTGTCGATGGTACATGGAGCCAGGCTAAGGACATCTTCTACAAGAATTCCTTGTTCCGACTGCCTAAACAGGTAAACTAGTATTTTAACATAGAGTAAATACAAATATATAGTTATTTTCTGTGAGATGACACACATATGCATTTATATATGAATTTGATGGTGTTTAGATATGTGAATGTATGTACAGAGGTATGTATATGCTTGTGTGTATGTTTTATATGTAAGCAGAAAATTTCAAATTTGTCCTTCTTTGTCAACTCCTACCATCAAATGTCACCATAGTTTAGGCATTTAGCTGTATTAAAAGTTTCTCAGACATTTAATCAGAGCAGTGTAAGAATTTTTATTTCTATGTGTATTAATGTTTTTGTTAAGAAGTGTTATGTTTAAATATTTTTGGAATACTAAATTACTTTGTTCTTATTAGGCATGACTGAGTTTTTATGAAATACTTTTTTTGTCATTCATGATTATAATCATATGGTTTATCCTTCAATTTGTTGATGTAATTGATGATGATACATTTCCTAATGTGGGACTGTTCTTGTATTATTAGAATGAACTCTACCGGGTCATATTGTACTACCCTTTTGATATATTACAGAAGCTTATATTTTAGTTAATGGCTTTAAATTATAATTTATATATCTTATGTACTTTTATTATAATATTTGGGTACTAAGATAATGGTAACTTCACCAAATAAATAGGAGAGATTTTAATATTTTTATGTGGCTTGGAATAGTTTAAATAATAGTTAACCTAACTTCATTTAGGTGAACTTGAGATGCTGCCATTTTGTTGTATATGTACAGGATGGTGGGCTGGGAAGCCTTTGTCACGAACCTATAGTACCTATTTCAACTTCCCCCTAAATGACTCTGTCCCTGAATTTGTTTTCCTTGGGGGAGGGGGGATGGATTGTACCATGAATAAGAAGTATTAATTTTTTTAAAGACAAATTGACTTTGAAGATATAAAAAGTTCACTGCAAGAAATAAAAATTGTGAATGAAGAAAAAAAAAATAGTTTTGCTCCTTAAAAATTACATGGAGCTCTATGGTGAAGCCACCTGATACTGGTCTCTTTAAAATGGTAACTTTAAAACCCTTCTTTCAAACTCTTTCATGAAAATTATTCAAGCTTTCTACTTCTATTTGCTTCATTTTTTAATAGTTTATCTTTTCTAGGGAATTATTCCTTTCCCTTGGGTTAACAAATTATTTGCCATATACCTATATATTCTTAAGTACTTATTTTAATTTCTTCTGGGTGTTTCCCTTTTTTTTTCCTAATCAAACACACACACACACACACACACACACACACACACACACACACACACTTTTCTCCCCCATGAACAGACTCAAGAGGGATTTCCCTGTTTATTGAGCTTTTAGAAGTATTAGCCTTTAGATTGTTTTAATGGCTATTAAACTTTATTCTTACTTCATCAATTTGAACTTTTACCTTGATCAATTTATTTTACCTTTTTCAGCTAAATTATTTTTTCTGATTGTAAGATTTGTGCTATAAGTACTATGTTTCTTTATTAAGATTAGTGAGTTTCTTCTTTAATAATAAAGGGAAAGACTGTAATGTTTCTTCTTAGTATAATTGTCATTGTATCCTATAGTTTTGGATTGATGTGTTTTTGTATCTATAGCATTGATATAATTTGTAATTTGTTTTGATTTTTTTTCTACCCATGGATTATCAGAGTTCTTAATTCTCAAGTGTTATAACATTTTTGTAGCTATTTTTATTTTTATTTCTTATTTTGTTGGATCATGATAAAATAACATTGCCAACAATATTGTGAATAATTTTATAATTTTTATCAGGGTGAGTACATGGCAAATTTTTGTGCATGTTCTATGAATATAAAAAATTTACCTTCTCTATTTAGCAATGAAAGTGTTTACAGTTTTTTAGAGTTTGTTATTTGCGGTTTTACTTTATGCTTTTGATTTTGGCATGCCCGGGCTATTCTATATTGAAAAAGGTATATGGAAAGCTTCTATTTGTGTGTTTTTAATGAAGTTATTCCTACATTTTCTTCTTTTTAAATTTATTTTATTTATTTGTGTTTGGCTGTGTTGGGTCTTCGTTGCTGCGCGTGGGCTTTCTCTAATTGCGGTGAGCGGGGGGTACTCTTTGTTGCAGTGTGCAGGCTTCTCATTGCAGTGGCTTCTCTTGTTGCAGAGTGTGGGCTCTAGGCATAGGGGCTTCAGTAGTTGTGGCATGCAGGCTCAGTAGTTGTGGCTTGTGGGCTGTAGAGCACAGGCTCAGTAGTTGTGGCCTCTGGACTTAGTTGCTCCACGGCATGTGGGATCTTCCCGGACCAGGGCACGAACATGTTCCCTGAATTGGCAAGCAGATTCTTAACTACTGCACCACCAGGGAAGTCCCCCCTTTTTTCTTTTTCCTTTTTTTTTTAATAAATTTATTTTTATTTATTTATTTTTGGCTGCATTGGGTCTTCGTTGCTGTGTGTGGGCTTTCTCTAGTTGTGGCGAGAAGGGGCTGCTCAGCAGTTGTGGCCCACGGGCCCAGCCGCTCCGCAGCATGTGGGATCCTCCTGGGCCAGGGCTCGAACCCGTATCCCCCGCATTGGCAGGCAGATTCCCAACCACTGTGCCGCCAGGGAAGTCCCCCCCCCTTTTTTCTTTCCTACATTTTCAATAGTTTTTGTGTTATGTATTTTTTTTTAACATTTTATTGGAGTATAATTGCTTTAAAGTGCTGTGTTAGTTTCTGCTTTATAGCAAAGTGAACCAGCTATACATATACATATTTTCCCATATCGCCTACCTCTTGTATCTCCCTCCCACCCTCCCTATCCTACCCCTCTAGGTGGTCACAAAGCACCGAGCTGATCTCCCTGTACTATGTGGCTGCTTCCCACTAGCTATCTATTTTACATTTGGTAGTGTATATATGTCCATGCCACTCTCTCACTTTGTCCCAGCTTACCCTTCCCACTCCCCGTGTTCTCAAGTCCATTCGCTACATCTGCATCCTTATTCCTGTCCTGCCTCTAGGTTCTTCAGAACCATTTTTTTTTTCAGATTCCATATATATGTGTTAGCATACGGTATTTATTTTTCTCTTTCTGACTTACTTCACTCTGTATGACAGTCTCTAGGTCCATTCACCTCACTACAAATAACTCAATTTCATTTCTTTTTATGGTGGAGTAATATTTTATTGTATATATATGCCACATCTTCTTTATCGATTCATCTGTCACTGGACACTTAGGCTGATTCCATATCCTGGCTATTGAAAATAGAGTTGCAATGAACATTGTGGTACATGACTCATTTTGAATTATGGTTTTCTCAGGGTATATGCCTAGTAATGGGATTTCTGGGTCATATGGTAGTTAAGGAACCTCCATACTGTTCTCTATAGTGGCTGTATTGTTTTACATTCCCACCAACAGTGCAAGAGTGTTCCCTGTTCTCCACACCCTCTCCAGCATTTATTGTTTGTAGAATTTTTGATGATGGCCATTCTGACTGGTGTGAGGTGATACCTCATTGTAGTTTTGATTTGCATTTCTGTAATGATTAGTGATGTTGAGCATCCTTTCATGTGTTTGTTGGCAATCTGTATATCTTCTTTGGAGAAATGTCTATTTAGGTCTTTGGCTCATGTTTGGATTGGGTTGTTTGTTTTTTTGATGTTGAGCTGCATGAACTGCTTGTAAATTTTCGAGATTAATCCTTTGTCAGTTGCTTCATTTGCAAATATTTTCTCCCATTCTGAGGGTTGTCTTTTCATCATATTTATGTTTTCCTTTGCTGTGCAAAAGCTTTTAAGTTTCATTAGGTCCCATTTGTTTGTTTTTGTTTTTATTTCCATTTTTCTAGGAAGTGTTTGAAAAAGTATCTTGCTGTGTTAAATGTCATAAAATGTTCTGCCTGTGTTTTCCACTAAGAGTTTTATAGTGTCTGGCCTTACATTTAGGTCTTTAATCCATTTGGAGTTGATTTTTGTGTATGGTGTTAGGGAGTGTTCTAATTTCATTCTTTAACATGTAGCTGTCCAGTTTTGCCAGCACCATTTATTGAAGACGCTGTATATTCTCCATTGTATATTCTTGCCTCCTTTATCAAAGATAAGGTGACCATATGTATGTGGGTTTATCTCTGGGCTTTCTATCCTGTTCCATTGATCTATGTTTCTGTTTTTGTGCCAGTACCATACTGTCTTGATTACTGTAGCTTTGTAGTATAGTCTGAAGTCAGGAAGCCTGATTCCTCCAGCTCCTTTTTTCTTTCTCAAGATTGCTTTGGCTATTCGGGGTCTTTTGTGTTTCCATACAAATTGTGAAACCTTTTTTTCTAGTTCTATAAAAATACCATTGGTAGTTTGATAGGGATTGCATTGAATCTGTAGATTGCTTTGGGTAGTAGAGTCATTTTCATAACATTGGTTCTTCCAATTCAAGAACATGGTATATCTCTCCATCTGTTTGTATCATCTTTAATTTCTTTCATCATTGTCTTATAGTTTTTTGCATACAGGTCTTTTGTCTCCTTAAGGTAGGTTTATTCCTAGGTATTTTATTCTTTTTGTTGCAGTGGTAAATGGGAGTGTTTCCTTAATTTTTTTTTTTTCAGATTTTTCATCATTTGCATATAGGAATGCAAGAGATTTCTGTGCATTAATTTTGTATCCTGCTACTGTACAAAATTCATTGATTAGCTATAGTAGTTTTCTGGTAGAATCTTTAGGATTCTCTATGTATAGAATCATGTCATCTGCAAACAGTGACAGCTTTACTTCTTCTTTTCTGATTTGGATTCCTTTTGTTTCTTTTTCTTCTCTGATTGCTGTGGCTAAAACTTCCAAAACTATGTTGAATGACAGTGGTGAGAGTGGACAGCCTTGTCTTGTTCCTGATCTTAGAGGAAATGGTTTCAGTTTTTTACCACTGAGAATGATGTTGGCTGTGGGTTTGTCATACGTCATCTTTATTATGTTAAGGGAAGTTCCTTCTATCCCTACTTTGTGGAGGATTTTTTTCATAAATGGGTGTTGAACTTTGTTGAAAAGTT